TAATGGCAAGGTATAAGTAAGTGTTTATTACCTTAATTGAATCAAGAATCGAATTTTCAGGAACAGTTTACTGTATTTTCGGAGGCAAAAATTGTTTTACATTACCAGAAGTATTCTGAATGACCGTTACACTGGGAACTAGAGCGCTCAAGTGACCTTAATCTTTAGTTTAATTAATCCAAAATTCTGGCATAAAAGAAACCTAGAGAATTCTGTGATTAGAATACCTTCCCTAAAGAGCTACCTATCTTAAAACAAAAGATAAAAGCTTAAGAACCACATAAGAAAGACTTTTTAGAGGCTATCATCAACACATATAGTAGCAAAATAAGAGTGGTAGCTGATTCTCTAGAAGACCTTAGCATGTATTCACTGGCATATATTAAATGGATTTTTAGAAGGTAAATGTAATACTGATTATGAGTGTAGGTTAATTATCAAACTCCAGCTTTTGCTTTAGACTTAGCTTTTGATTTATCTGATTCTATCCTTTACTATCATTATTCTTCCCCTTACACTTCCCATTAGGAGTGATAACATACAGAAATAAGTAAAATACAAATTAGAGTATAGGTACATAAGAGAAGTACAAATGAAGTGTTTTGAAATCAGTTGAAGAAAAAGGTCTTTCAAACTGGTGGAATCAGAGAGAGCTTTCTGGAGAAAGTGGCATTTAAGTAGGAACTTGAAGAATAGAGAGGAGGGCAGGTGACAGTGAAACCTGGGAAGTTTAGGTCTGAATCAAAGGTAGACACAGTGTTCCGGGTACAGTAACTGATTCAGTGTGACTAGAACAAAAATGCTGTGTGTTTGTAGTATGAGATAAGATAGGTTAAATGTTGATTAGACAGTCTTGAATGTCAAAAATTTAGACTTTTTTTTTTTAAGAGGAAAGGCAGGAGTAAGCCATTGAATGTTTTTAGCAATTGTGTAATGTAATCAGAACTGTGCATTAGGGAAATCAATCTGGCAGTTGATAGAGGGTGCATTGGATACTAGGAGTCTGGTCAGGAGGCTATTGAAAGAGTCTGGATGAGTGATAGTGAAGGCCTGAATGTTGCTGATAGCAGTGGAAGTGGAGGTGAGGGAACATCCTCAAAAAAAAAGGGTTCAGAGGTAGCGTACTTATTCATAAAAGGAAAGGACGTAGTCACAGATGACTTTGAGGTTATGACTAATAAGCAGTGAGGAGAGTGGTGAGCCTTTGTCGAAGGGAAATCAGGAAGTGGAGTAGATTTCAGAGAAGTGATGATTTCACTTTGAGACATGTTGAATGGCCTTGAGGTATTAATGGAAGATCAAAATGGAGAAAGTAGGCAATATGATTATAGTGATCTGGAGAAAGGTCACAGGGAAGTTGATGTGGATTTGTGAGTTATGTATTGCCTTATATTTTTAGCTATCCTTTTTTGTATATATTTTTGTCTCCTAAAGTAAATTGTAAATTTCTTGACATCAAAGACTCTGTCTTTGTACTTCCTTGTGTCACAGAGTAACTAGCACAGTGTTTTGCCTGTAGTAGGAATTGTTAATAACCTCTCATTTCACTAAGTGTTGGTGGTACATGCCTGTAATCCCAGCTGGTATAAGGAGGCTAATGTTGGCAGGTCTCTTGAGCTCAGGAGTTTTGATCTGCAATGAGCAATGCAGATTAAGTGTCTGTATTAAGTTTGACATTAGTATGGTGAGAACCAAGGAAGGAAAGATAAGGAGAGGAGACCAGATTGCCCCACCAGGTAGGTAACTGAGCAGGTCAAATCTCCCTCCTGTGCCAGTCATTAATACGATCAGGCCTGTGAATAGCCCCTACACTTCCAGCGTGGAGAAGATGGAGAAGACCCAGTTTTTAAAAGTAATAGTAATAATTTGTCATTTCTCAGACTGAAGCAACATCCTTATTAGTGGGGAAAGCCTAGGACTGAGATTTAGGAGACATTTCTTTACTGTGTGATCTTGAGCAAGTCACATCACCTCTGGCAGTTTCTTCTTGTATAAAATGATGATCATACTTATTTCTTTAAAAGGCTGTGAGGATCGTGATAACAATTTATATTAAAACAAAACACTTTGTGGGATATAAAATACTATATAAATGTGAAAACTTATATGTCTTTCCCTAAGTTTCTGCTTTCTGCCTTGTTTCAGAGGAATATAGTGGAGGTGGAGGCTGGTTGGCAAAGCAGGCTTATTTGTTATGTATTCAACCTTTGACTTTTCCAGAAATGTCTGGTGTTATTTCCCATCATTGTTAGAAAAATCCAGGGAGGGATCAGCTCAATTCTCTTACCTCCTGGTTATTTCTGGTAGGATTCATCCAAACCAAGACATTTGATATACTCTCCTCTGTTCTACATGCTTAAGTTGGCTTTATTCTGTTCAGGGAACCACTTTTCTTATAGATCATAACAAATACAGTAGGATTTTGATGTTAGATTTTCAAATTAGCAGTTACTTGACAGTGAATACTTTTTCACAGTTGCCTTCATTTCCTTTACTTACCTTGTAAAAATATTATATACGCTAAACCTAATCAGATTATTCTTTTTTTCCTATCATTTTAATGTGAGGTTTATTTTTAAATTGTAAAATAAGTCAAAATATTTGTTATATTACATATCAGTTCTTTTCCAATTTGTACTTTAACCAGAGTAATTTTAGAATAAGGGAATCATTTATTGCTTTTTTATAAAGTGAATATACCAATACATATATTTGCTTGTGTTCTTTAAAAAGAAATCTCCTCAGAACAAGCAGGTATACATTCTAGTGAGGTTTCAGTAATTTTAAAAAGGACAATATCAGATAGTCCATTCTAATTATTAGTAGTAGCAATGATTACTGAAGGATTTATTTATTTATTTATTTGTAATTTCTAGGCTGAAACTTTTTTAGTATAGTATTATTTTGCATTCTTGTTTAAGTGTAAGCTGGCTTTGTCACAGGTATGCAGTTTTCCTGGACTTGATTTAATATTTTCTAATATCCATTTCTTCTGTTAAATGCAGTATACATTCTTGTTTAACATATTTGCTCATTGTAATAAAGCATGCTACAAGTTGGTGGCAATGTTGGTTCCGGGGATGTGGGTAAAGACTAATGCATTTTTAATGTATAACTCAATTTTGGGAAAGAAACTTTACAAAAGTAAACAATTTAAGAATGAGAACTACTATAAATATTTGATTATCAGCACCATAGTGAAAAACATCTAAAGTATGCTTTAAAAACTTTTTAAAACTTCTTAAACCCTTATATTTATCACTTTCAATATGTTATTTTCATATATACTATTATTCTTTAGGCCTTAAGTTCTATTCTTATTTTTTTTAGCATATGAGATTAGTATGTAGTCATTAACCAACAAAGAGATTCAGTATTGTGTAGAGAACAGTGGACTTAAAGTCAAGAAGACCTATGTTTCTGACACTTACTGTATGACCCTAGACAAGTCGGTTAACTTCTCTAAGCCTCATTTTCCTCATCTGTAAAATAAAGGTGCACTAAATGACCTTGAAAATCTCTTTCAGGTCTAAATTCATAATCTTATGATACTAAATGAGGAAAATAAAAATACTGGTGGTAAGGTCTAAAAATGAATAATAGTACCACAAGATTGTAAGTTTTCTTCTATTGTGAAGTAGAATTCTGTAGTATGAAGGTAAGTTAAGACTTCAGTGTATTTTAAAAATACTGTATTTACATTTCAGTATGTTGATGAGCCTTATGGGATGGTCCTATTCTCTTAATATCTTTCTAATTGTATTGGTTTATTTCACATTTTTAGTAGTTTTTTCCCTTGACAATTTTATTCTATTTTTTTCTTACCTTAATTTTTGCTTGCTTGTCATTCTTTCTTAAATGATTTCTATGTGTATTTTTTGGCATAATAAATCACTGTTAGATATGGTAGTGTGAAACTTTAAAAAAAAAACCAGTTCACATGAAAGATGAGTATAAATCATAAGATGTTGAATTCCCTGCCTTTTAAGAAAAACGTATTATTTTGCTGGGAGGTTTTTTGTGTTTTTTTTCCAGTTTAACACTTTTTAGCTCATTTGCAGGAAAAAAATTGCTTCCAAATATCAAGAAATACTGGTTTTGAGGGCCTCTTTAAAAAATTTATTGAATTGAGCTGTCAGGCCTTTAAGGAAGGAAGAAAACCTTTTTTCTTGATTTTTTTTTCTAATTTTTAATGGTAATTTTCTTATATAAAATAAAAATTATTCATATTATCAGTTCATATGTGTTCTTAATAGGGAAGCAGTGCTGCTTTTAACTTTGGCTTCCACTATAAAAGTAAAACTGGCTTCATTTCGCACATGTGAGAATAAGGGGATTATAGATATATATTGTGTGTGCTAGAGTGTAGTAAGCTTGCAGAGTCTCAGAATTGATCAAATAAAGGGTATAATTGAAAGCTACAAGAAGTAGATCATTTTAGGAACCAATTTATTATAACAGTCTCACTTTTTTGATAGTGCTCTCTTGGTTTTAGTATTTGTTTCTTTTTCTGTAATGTATACTAATTCTCTTAAGTGCTCCCTAGATGAACTTTAAGAAAACTGTGTCCTAAATATGTTTTGAGTAACTATATTTATAAGTGTCTTTATCTGATATTCTAATGACTGCAATGGATAATATTTCTACAAAATTCCTCTGAAATTTTCCTGTGGATCTTTTTTGGATTAATACCTGTGCACATACATTAACTTAAAACCTAATACTCTTGTCATATATTATAAAAAGGACGATTAGATGTTTTTTGTTCCTTTATTTTATTTATTTAGGCAGTTGGAGTTAAGTGACCTGCCCAGGGTCACACAGCTAGTAAGTGTCAAAGTGTTTGGTCTGAGGCCGGATTTGAACTCAGGTACTCCTGACTTCAGGACCGGTTCTCTATCCACCGTTCTACCTACCTGCCCTGTTTGTTTGTTTTTTGTAAATGAAATACTTTGTTGAATTTTTGGTTATATATGTATATCTTTTTTTCTTTTTTTCAGGATACATATGGAATAATAATTCAAGGAGACCTAAAATGGAAAAGTCATGGATGTTGTGGACCTTTATTGAAAGATGGCTATTCTCCTTAGCTTCATGGTCTTGGGCCCTCTGCCGTATTTCTCTTTTACCTTTAATAGTGACTTTTCATCTGTATGGAGGCATCACCTTACTTGTGTTAATATTTGTATCGATAGCAGGTATTCTATATAAATTTCAGGATGTATTGCTTTATTTTCCAGAACAGCCATCATCATCCCGCCTTTATGTCCCTATGCCCACTGGCATTCCACATGAAAACATTTTCATCAGAACCAAAGATGGAGTGCTTCTCAACCTTATTTTGCTGAGATACACTGGAGATGATTCAACATATTCCCCAACTATCATTTATTTTCATGGAAATGCAGGCAATATTGGTCACAGGTTACCAAATGCTTTGCTTATGCTGGTTAACCTGAAAGTTAACCTTTTACTTGTAGATTATAGAGGTTATGGAAAAAGTGAAGGTGAAGCAAGTGAAGAAGGACTCTACTTAGATTCTGAAGCTGTACTGGACTATGTGATGACCAGACCTGACCTTGATAAAACAAAAATTTTTCTTTTTGGTCGTTCCTTGGGGGGAGCAGTGGCTGTTCACTTAGCTTCTGAAAATTCCCATAGGATTTCAGCCATCATGGTAGAGAACACGTTTCTAAGCATACCACATATGGCCACTACTTTATTTTCTTTCTTTCCAATGCGGTATCTTCCTTTGTGGTGCTACAAAAATAAATTCCTGTCCTACAGAAAAATCTCTCAGTGCAGAATGCCTTCTCTTTTCATCTCTGGGCTCTCAGACCAGTTAATTCCACCAGTAATGATGAAGCAGCTTTATGAACTTTCACCATCTCGGACTAAGAGATTAGCAATTTTTCCTGATGGAACTCATAATGACACATGGCAGTGCCAGGGTTATTTCACTGCACTTGAACAGTTCATCAAAGAAGTTATAAAAAGTCAGTCCCCTGAAGAAATGACAAAGACTTCATCTAATGTAACAATTATATAATATTCTTTTTCTGATTAATGCACTGTATCTTTATTTGTGCAAAGTGATAAAGAATGTTAATTTTTAAATGTGTATTATGTATGTACTTGCCTAAAGAGTAAAATTAAACTTTGAAAGGTCTTTAATACTTCTCTGTGATGATCCAGATAGTTTTTACATTTGGAAAACTGTCATTATTGGAATAGTTTCATACATTTTCATCAAACCTTTCAATATGGATATGTATCCATATTTTATTATGGCAGTATAACGGAGACTATTCAGAAGTTCCTGGTTATAGCAGCGGTAATATTCTATAATCTATGCTATTCTTATACTTTGGGGTGGGGGGGAGGGAGGAGATGGGAAGAAAAAGTTGAGATATCAAGACATTTTTCCGTATTCTTCACTTTAGGAAATATTGGGACAATCATGGTTAGCAAACTATGTTCTGTAACTGCATATTTCACTTCAAGAATTAATACAAAATGCATGACAGTGTTTTATTCCCCAAATTATGCAATTTAACATTTTTAATGTAAATAGCACCAGTAGTATACTAGTGTATACTATAATCTGGGTTATATCTATTTTTATGTAAACATTTTATTACATGTTTGTCAAAAAGATAAACCATAAGACCTATGTGCAGGGTGCCATTGACTTAGCTTCTGTGAGTGCTGAGGTCTTTTCCCCCCCGCGTAGTAAGAAATAGAAGTCCTTATTCAAATGTAATCATAGTATTTCTGTTGGGTACAACCAAAATCCTTGGCATGTAAAAATAGATATTTAGAATTTTACTGCAGCTTTGGTTGGTTGTGTTTATCTAAATTTTTAAGCGTTTATAGTCTTTTTGGTGGCAAAGAGAATTTTAGCTTATGTAAATATTAACAGTCTGAAGCTAGACATACTAATAGCAGCCATAACAAAGATTTGAACTTTTAAAAGATCTTTGAAAGAACTTCTCATTATGTGATTGTATATGTTATATAGAAGAGTTAAATTTTAACCCTTATTTGAATTTTAAGTCCCAATATCCATGTAAACCCCAAACCAAAGCCAGGATGTCAGCTCAGTGGATTTACCAAAAAAAAGAAAAAAGAAAAAAAAAAAAGAAAGAAAACATTGTGTTTTTTGGTTTCTTTTCTGCTTCATTTGGTATTAAAGAGAACAGCGTCTACATCAAATGGTAGATTTTGTAGGAAGTATTTTATTTCTGTAGAAGTGGAGGGCAGAGAATTTCCTGACTTTGCCATAAAGCATATTTTCACAATAAGTATTTTTTTTTATGGTTTCTAGGCTACACTATTTAGTAGGCTTAAATGGAAGTAGTATTTAGATATGTTTGCAGAAATATTTTCCCTTTGATTCTTGGAGTATTCCATAATGCTACCTTACCAAAAATGTAGCAGATGAGCCATAGATACGGTAAGTTGTTTTCAGTAATGTTTGACAGTTATATGTAAATGACATACATACCAACTTTTCAGCACAATTTTTTTAAAAACATGGTTCTCATTAAGTTCATATCTTTTCAATTTGCATTCCTTGACTTAATAAAAGCAGCCATACCGTAAAGATTCAGTAAATCAGTAATAATTTTGGCCTTATTTAAAACTTGTTCTATGAAGTTTGGACCAGAAATATTTTTCACAAATCACATTTTTGTAATACAATACACTTCGATATTAAAGATACAAAGTTAGTGAGAGTTACTAGGAGTACTTTTTTTTGAGATAACTGAATAATTGAGAAAATTACTCTTCTTATAAGGAAAGTTCCCTGGTTTTAGAAAGTGTAATCTGTATGAATAAATTTTCCACCATAAAAACTTACATAATATCTTGTCCATGTGCTCCAATAAGTTTTATATTTTAACATCATTCAAAAGAATACATACATTCTTTTCATCAAGCTCTAACATTATTATATAAGTTGATTCTAGGAAATTATGAACAAATAGTGACATCCACATTTACACACCAACACTTAATTGTAAACACTGTGTAGGAATTTGAGTTGAAAACAAAACTTTCGTTTATGATAAATGTTTCTCCTCTTCCCTTCCCCCTTTTTAGAAAAATCACAAAAATTGCTAAAAGGCGATTTTTTAAGGGTGCTAATGTATTATGTCCTCTGTCTTTTGGAGGAAAAGCACCTCTGACTTCTATGATGTACTGAGCAATTTGTGTATGGAATTTGCTGTGTCTTTACTAGGTATTTAGGAAAGCATCTTCTAGTCAGATGGTTGAGGGGGTGGGAAGCAATCTTTAATAGTACATCAGAGGTTATGAAACTCATGGCAACCTGTTTTCAAACACATTTCAGTTTGTGTGTCCAAAAGTGATCATCTGGTCATGACAAAATTAATAAATTCATTTATTCTCTTTCAGAGTATCTGTCAGAAACAATGAAAATACATATATACGTTTTCTGATTTAATTATTGTGCAGTAGTTGCCATAAGAATATTCCACCATGAAATTTAAATTTAGTAAGGGATTGCTATTGGGGGAAATGATCTTAAAATGTCCCATTTTTGTGGATCATGTCAGGATAAGGACATTCCATTAAAGAACTATAAAACAAACCAAATTTGCTATTGTACTCAGACAAAATACCACAACAGTGGAAGCTGCATTACACAATAGGACATGGGAAACACACCGTTTAGAAAGGGAAATCTAGATAGGCTTTATCATATTGGAGGGCAGCAATAAAATGAGTTTGATAAGCAAGAAACTTTACCAGCACACAATAGAAATTCATATAGTTAAAATAGTTTTCAAATACATGAAGATCTTTGAAGCACTAGTTGAGGCTATCACACCCTGGGCAACAAGTAATTTTGAAATTATGTTGTATTTACTGTTTCCTTAAAGAAAAATCGGGGATGGAACTTGGATTTTAACATCTAGAGAAGCTTAACCTTGTTTTGCAGTGGATATTTTGGTCCCTTGATAATTATATATTTATATTTCCAACTTTGGTTTTATGCATCTCTCTGCTATTCACTACTGTTGCTGTGTTCTGGCTTGCTAGAATTGGCATATGTTCAGTTCATTTGGCTATTCTATGTAATATTTACTTGTCAGCACATTTGGTCAATAGCAGTAGAGGGAATATATTTTTTGGGTACAAGAATTAAGGCCATAACTAATTTTATGTAAATTTTTATCTTGCAAAATCTGTTGAACAAAATTATATTTTGTAGTAGTACTATTTTTAATTGCATTCCATTACATTTGGAAGTGAATTTGGGATAAGATCGTAAGGATGTCTCTCAGAAATCACTTTTTTTTCTAGGTCATGGATGGAGATTACTTATAAGGATTCTACAACTCCCTCGTTATTTTTGGCATCATTTATGAAATTTTGAAAAAAAATTCAAACAATGCTTTCAGATTATCCAGTTTAATTGAGCTATCTTCCTTCATATCACTCAGGTAAAGTTAACAAAGTGACATAGCACAAACATTTATTTTATAAATCTCCCAGTTGAAAGGGTAGTGAAATGCACTTCTGTTTGTTTATATATAATATATGCACATCAGCATCTCTTGGCTAATCAAAAGTGTCATTCATTCATATGCTGAAATTAATGCAAACTCTCATCTTACCCATGAATCAGTCCATCTTGGCCAACTGACACAAATATACCTCCATTTATATTTCATATTTTTAGAACTATGTATACTTTAAAATAGGACTATGTACAAGAGACACTTTACAAAAGTGCCATATATTAATACACATTTAACAAGGAAGAGTGGTATGTAGTGTTGAAAATGATTTAGAATTCCTGTCAGTACATGTATACTGAAAATTAAATTCTCTACGTAAATTCAGGATGTAAAAACGTGGTATTCTGAATTCATAATGTAAGTCATATATTTTTTCATTTCTTGCCATTCTTATTTGAAATAGTGGTGTAATGCATTTTATAAATTAAATTTAAACATTGCAGTATGTTTATGTGCTAACCATGACAGTCTTAAACATTTACATTTTGATTTTTTACAATAAATTTATTTTAAAAAACACTTTCTATTTTTCTGTACTGACATATGCAATAAATTGATACATTAAAAGTTTGAGTAATGTCTAAAAAATCTGTAGTTGGTTGTTTTCATTTCCTGCTAATGTATTTTAAATTCCATAATACGTCATGTCTTGAATTAATGATAAAAATAAATGTTCCAAGTTTATTGTAACAATTTAGCATTCTGTTCTGGCATTATAATGTTTTAATCCAGAAGTTAGAATTTTTTCTAAGATAAATTGCTTAATTATTTAGTTTAAGCTAATATTTAAATTAGTGTGCATTCCCTGAACATCATTAACTGATGGTAATAGGAGAAAGCCTAGAAGCATTTCCGGTATTTGAGAAAAGTGAACCTGGAATTGGAAGATTATAAATGTGTTGACAAATTGACTAATAGCTATTTCAAAATATCTTCTAAGAATTCCCTCTTGTTCACTTAATTATTGCTAATGAAAGGAATCATTAAACTGTTTTTAAAAAAAGTGTACAATAATTCACCAAGCCTTTGGAGTTGTATCCCCACCTTCCCTAGTACAGAAATTTGCTGTGGATAGCCCAAATTAGGTAGTTACTGGGAAAAGGAAGCCCTGAAAATGTTAAGAGGGTAGAGAAGTCCCCAGACACATAGTACTTAGCCAGCCTAGAATGATTTCTATTACTTTCCTGCAGCAAGACTAAATATATTTCTAAGTTGAAGTTCATTTAGTGCCACACTTGAGATAACTTGGCCTTTCATTATCAGAGGGCAATTGATCCATCCATACTATCTATCCTTTTTCCTAGAAGACTTGCCCCAGAATTCCTAAAGCTGCAACAAACTCTTTGCAGAGTTGTAGAATATTCTTAGAGAGATGTAGATAAAGAATTCTCATGCTCTAAAGTTTACAATCTGAAAGGGGATATTAATCATGCACATCGAAAAAGTCATACAAAATGGCCTAATAGCATAAAAGGATGATAAATAGTTGAGATTGAGTAAGAGAGAGGGCATTTTAGGTATAAAAACTGGAGCCAAATACAGTAAGATGAGTAAAAGCATGGGATGCATTTGTGTGCTTTCAAATAATCCACTTTGGCTAGGAAGTAGAGTAGTATGTAGTAAATCTATAAAGGTAGATTGTGAAGATCTTTAATTGGCTCGTTGAGTAAGGTGATGAGTACATATTCAAGATTTTTAACTAGTAATCTCATGAAAATACTTGTGTATCAGGAAGATCCATAAATTGAATTGAGAAGGGGAAAAAATTAGAAGTAGGGAAGTCTTGTTAGAGCATTGTTTAGTCCAAGTGATAGATATGACATTGACTTCAAGTTGTGCCATTGAGAATGATGAGTGGATAGAGGTTAAAGGTAATGACAGGACTTGGAAACTTACTTTGGGACAGTGTTTGCACTTGTCAGTCAATTTAGTCATCATGTGCCCAGCATTGTGCTAAGTAAGCAGTGGGGATACAGAGAAAGACAAGACAGTCCCTGGTCTCTAGGAATTCACAGTGGAATGAAGGAGACAATATGGCAAACAAGCAAGGTCTATCTATATGCATATCTAAATAGATAATAGATCTTTACAGTATCTAATAAATTGGACATGTCAGTATACAGAAGGTACTGCATCAGCATTGAGTAGGATCAGGAAAGGCTTCTTATGCAAAGTGGGGTTTTCTGGAACTTGAAGGAAGTGAGGGAATTGGAGGCAGAAAATGAGGAAAGAGAACGCCAGGAATGGAATATAGCCAGTGAAAAAATGTATGGAGTT